AGAGAGAGAGAGAGAGAGAGAGAGAGAGCGCGGGGGTGCGGGGGTGTCTGCCGCGGATAACAGAGCAGGCAGGAGGGGGAGAGGACGAGGAGAAGAGCGGTGAACTTATTTCTAATTTTATCTGACTTATTTAATTTTATCTTTATTGTTTTTTATTGTCCTGCAGGCTCTGATGGAAAATTAATTTGAAGCTGAGTATTTTTTTATAAAAATCGTTAAGATTACTCTAAAGCAAAATGAGGGAAAATCTGTGTCAATCACAGACATTCTGTTCACGTGAGCAGCTGTCAGTCAGCACCTGTCAACCTCCAGACGCACGATGGAGCGTGTCTGAACCAATCACTTTTGTTGGCATTGATCAGCTGACTGATTTAAATACATCTTAACATTCATGAGGTACTTTGCATTGGCTGTTTCTGGTTGAGTGTGGGCGTGTAGAGGGTAGAACCTGAGGCGGGACCTCGTGCGCAAACTCTGATGTGCAGCTGTGATTTATAAAGGAAAGATGCGCAGAAACGTGCGTACGCACTGTTTTATAAATCTGAATTTTTTTTGGCGTACGCCATTTCCGCCTTTTGGCCGTACGTTCACTTTTAGTATGGTTTCCACGCAATCCTTTATAAATGAGACCCCAGGAGAGTTTTGTCTCGTGTTCCTACAATCAGGTCTGTAAAATCTGAATATGTTTTACAGTTTTCACCCTTTCTTCCACACTAAAATAGAAAGTTTTCCAGTAAGCAAATTTTGCACTCAAGGAGCAAAACACCAGTCATGATTTGCACCAAGATAACACAGAAAGCTTGGTCTCAGTCAGGATGAGGTTTTACATCAGGATAATGACCCAAAACACAGTAAAAACACCTAAGAATGGCTGAAATACATTGGACTAAAATAGGCTTCTTATTTTTGTCAAGTTCTAGATATATCAATGATCTTTATGGGTTTTTCTTTCTTTCACAAAAGGCTACAGTATAAACATATTTGTGTGTACATTTACAAGACATAAATATAGCAGTTTGAACTCATTTAAAACTATCTTATTCTTTAAATTTTGTACTCAATACTGTGTGTTGCTTTTATCCTTATTTTGAATTTTATTGCCATGTATACATCGTTTTGGGACTGAAAGGAGCTGTCTGTAAATCTGACCTCTGACCTTTCGATGGACCTCACCCATGAACCAGCTGGGTAAACCCATCCACCAAGTGCATAAACATTAATGTGCTCAGTTTAAAACACACCAATGTGATATAAACACTACACTACAGGTCTGCAATCAATACAACCAAGAAATGTTTCTCCTGTTTCTCATGCTAAGTAAAATTTTTAATTTTATTTAAAACCAACTTAAAGATCAAACAAAGGATAAAAGGAAATAAGATAACTTTATATTAAGTTTTATATAAACACTACAAATAAAACACACCTAGCATTAAAAATACCTTTCTCTTGTACGTAGAAAGCGAGGTAAAGGTCCAGCTCTTTGACAGAGACAGAAATATGGCGAGGCTGGACGCAAAGTACAGGATTGGAGCACTGGCCTCCTTTCACCAGCCGCTCTCCATCTGTGCTTTCCAGAGGAATTCCTTTAAAAAGGATGACCATCACTAGGTCCAACCTCCACACCTGTGAAACACAAAACACAGACATGATGACTAAAGACAGCATACTGTATCTGTCTCTAAGGCATGAGACCAGAGACCAGCCAGAGACCAGCCAAAAACCAGCACAGAGAGAGACCAGTCAGAGACCAGCTAAAAACCAGCCAGAGACCAGCCAGAGACCCGCCAAAGACAAGCCAGAGACCAGCATAGAGACCAGCCAAAGACCATCCAGAGACCGACCTGTCAAAGACAATCCAGAGACCAGCCAAAGACTAGTCTGAGACCAGCCAGAGACCAGGCAAAGACCAGCCAGAGACAACCCAGAGACCAGCCAGAGATCAGCCAAAGACCATGCAAAGACCATCCAGAGACCTGTCAAAGACCAGTCAGAGACCAGCCAAAGACCTGTCGAAGACAATCCAGAGACCAGCCAAAGACCTGTCAAAGACAATCCAGAGACCAGCCAGAGACCAGCCAAAGACCAGTCTGAGACCAGCCAAAGACTAGCCAGAGACCAGCCAAAGACTAGTCTGAGACCAGCCAAAGACCAGCCAGAGACCAGCCAAAGACCAGCCAGAGACCAGCCAAAGACCAGCCAGAGACCAACCACAGACCAGTCTGAGACCAGCCAAAGACCAGCCAGAGACCAGCCAAAGACCAGCCAGAGACCAGCCAAAGACCAG